GATAAAAATGACAATCTTTTAGTGCAAAACTTAATAATGGACAATCCTTTAGCTGTTTTGTTTAGAATGGAGGTATTAATTTTTCTAGGCTTCTTCTGGCAAAACAAACATGTGCATTCTTAAATGTATGTTCTTTTCTTTCGTTTTTTTTTTTACTTTAAACTATAATGTTTGACGTCACGTTTCATCTTTTGAAACCACTTAAATAAAATCCGGGTTCAAGTCAGTAGAACTTCCCAGCGTCTACACAGCTATGATGGGTACCTAACTCTTTGCAGGGTAGGTACAGGCGGCTGGGCAAAGTGCTGACAACACATCATTTTATATACTTAGGTCACAGGAACAGAAGAACTCTACTTCACTTGTCCCATGGATCGTCAGGTTCCAAAAGGGAACCATACATAGGCCCTCTTACTTTACTTTCCAAATCTACCATATTTATACTTAGGGTATAACGGGAAGCAATCACAACACGCCACAGTTTTGTGAATAACTGAACATTGAAATAATGCTGAGGACAGTACAAATAATTCTTCCAAGTGCTAGTAATTATTTAAAGATTACATTGCCAGGGCAAAGTGCCGACAACACTATACCAGTGGCGTAGCGAGGTCGCGTGTCACCCGGTGCGGCACTTAAGGGTGTCACCCCTCAGAGACGTAGCGACCCTTCCCGGGGACAAACTTTCAAGTTTTCGATTTGCACCCCCCCTCAAGTTTTCGATTTGCACCCCCCCCCCTCAGGTTTTTCTATATATATTTTGCTATTTTTTGCCTTGGTGTCACCCCCCTAAATGGTGTCACCCGGTGCGATCCGCACCCCCGCCCCCCCCCTTGCTACGCCCCTGCACTATCCTATTACAGAAACATAGGAACTCTCCTTCATTCCCCATATGGATCGTCAGGTTCCAAAAGGGAACCACAACACAGGCCCAGTGGCGTAGCGAGGTCGGGTGTCACCCGGTGCGGCACTTAATGGTGTCACCCCCCCCCCCCCCCCCATAGACGTAGCGACCCTTCCCGGGGACAAAATTTCAAATTTTTTATTTGCACCCCCCCCCCCTCAAACTTTCGATTTGCACCCACCCCTCAATTTTTCTCTATATTTTTTGCTATTTTTTGCCTCGGTGTCACCCCCTAAATGGTGTCACCCAGTGCGGTCCGTACCCCCGCCCCCCCCTCCCCCGCCCCCTTGCTACGCTTCTGCACAGGCCACAGTTTTGTTAATAACTGAACATTGAAATAATGCTGAGCACAGTACAAATAATTCTTCCAAGTGCTAGTAATTATTTAAATATTACATTGCCTGTATCAGTTGTTCTTTTCATTATTTTATCTGGTTTCATAAAAAATTGAAACTGTCTTATCTGTTGGCAATGTTGGCCTATTAATAGACTTGCTATATACAAATGCTATTCATTTGCTCTGATAAGCGCTTGATTGAAAATGAAGATCTTCGTTGGAGTTTTTCTCTGTGTTCTAATGTCATGTAAGTGTTCTGTTTAAGTTCAAATGTCATCTAAGTTATATCCTTTGTTCGATAGATGGCATATGCATTTTCTGGGTTGAAATGGACGTGAGACCATGTGCCTAGTTCTCAATTACCTTCTCCCTACATGTATGACGCTCTCATGTTGCAGTTTGTCATGGACGTGAGACCCGGGACCTGTGTGCTGGTCCCATCTACATGTGTACTGTGGGAGGCAACGACTGTGAAGCTGGCACGGAGTGTGTGACGCTCTCCCATTGTGGAACTTTTTGTTTAAATAAAGGTACAGGAAACTAGAGTATACTTGTGTCAGTAACGACTACGGAGCGGGGGGTGCGGACCGCACCGGGCGACAGCATTTAGGAGGTGACACCAAGGCAAAAAATTGCAAAATGTACAGACAATAGATAAACATTGTTACTATTAAGACACCCGACCTAGCGACGCCACTGACTTGTGTAATAGTAGTTTCAATAAATAGGACAGAAGTTAAGTTAAATGTTGGATAGCTCTGTCTGTAAAACATTTAAGATAACTCTAACCACAGCAAGGTTTCTTGTAACTTACATTTCTTTTTGTCAGTGGATGTAGTGTGATTTTTTTAAAATACGATCTAATTAGCACTAAGCCCTTTGTGAATTTTATAAGATTGACATTTCGTTTAGTCTGATTGATTACGATTTATTACAGTAATTCTGTTTCCCACCTCTACCTGTCAGTGGACAACAACATAACAAAATCGATCAGCTATGATACATAAAGCCAATTTTCTTTAGTGCACCATAACTATTAAACATTTTACAACAAAACACATATACAAAAAGAAAGATATTTTACTTTCAGGAATACATGTGTTTCATTATAAGACAAACATAATTACAGAAGCAAAACAAAACACAAGTACATATCTGATTAAGAATGATTTTAAGTAAAAGTTAGTTATAAAATAAATTAAAAATACAATCGTTGTTGCCAGATTTTCCAGGTAAACGTCAGATCTGTCCGGCCATTGGATGCGCCAATTATTGCGCCACTGGTTACGTCCTTGCTGCCAACGGATGTCCCACCTGTACCTGTCTGTAGAAACTCTGGCACCAACATGCTTTAGTCACTCAATGGATGTCAAGCATGTGACTAAAGATAATCTGGCACCTACGTCTTCGACACCTATAGAAGATGATAATTTGAATTATTCGTGAATTTGGTGTATGAAACGAATAAAATCGGTTCAAATAATAAAGTATATCTTATTTTAAGTGTTTTTGCTTTAACAAAAAGCTATAGAGAAATTATTGTCTCCTGTTGAGTATTAAAAAAGATTTTTTTTTCCGGCGCCTGCACCCTTGAAACTACGACTCAAAACTTGAAAAAAATAAGTTACTTGGTCTAAAATATATTCCTTGTGACAGATCAGTTTATTTATTAACTTGGCCACACATCATCGGGGTTAAGATTCGTGAGCATTGATGAGATCTGGCTCGAAAATGCCACGGGTGTTTCGGATTCGTGAGCATTTACATGTGTTTGACTTTACTATTTTATTCATGTGTGTCTGATTCGCCGGCACTTGTATATAGTTTTGAAATCACCCAGACCTCATAACATCTAGCTCGCCTGACAATAAATTTCTGAAGAACATGTTTCGTTTTGTTTTTTTTCCCTAGACAGCATTCGTTATTTAGTTAGAGTGGGTTAACACTCGAAAATGGAACTAAAAATACATTGTACAAACACAAACAAACAACAGTATCCGAGCTAGGTTGACTCAGCAAGACCCATCCTGTTGAGCCTAGGTCCATCAGAGCTAACTGGAAATAGGCATTGATCGTCTCGGGTCTGTGAGAGATCAGTGTTTCTTTCAGACTTTTTTCTCCGGGGCGGCACTTGAAATAATTTTTAGCGCAATTTCCATTCTGGAGAATTGCGTTTATTAACCCGTCATTTCTGGATGTATGAATGTATGAATGAATGAATGTGTGTCCACAGCTTTAAGTCGTATCTCCTCCTCAACGAAGCAATATCGAGGACTAGTTCCAAAAGCAATTATGTTAAGCAAGTTACCAGGATGATAGTGGGCCAAAATAATTCCGGGTTTCTTTCATGGATTTCCCGGAAAAGCCAAAAAACCTCGAAAAAATGCAGTTTTTGGCCCATATCTCGGCAACGAGACCACTTAGCGACTTGAAACATTTACCAATCGATTCCTGACATAATTTAAATCAATATTGCCAAAGAAAGTTTTCAAAAATATCCTTTTGTTCGGTCATAAAAAAAATTTTGAATTAATTAAAATTTGGACCGAATTAGTAGGCATGTTTATCCAACCACACCACACGCGTCATCACGTTCAATAGCTGCGCCATCACGTTTAATGGCTGCGTCATCACGTTCAGTAGCTAGGCGCGCAATGGTTTTTAGTCATGTAACTCTATTGTAAATAAAACATGTATTTTAACCAATGGGTTTACTAACCCTGCTCTTGATTTACGCTACGACAGAGCTATTTTTAGATAACATAAGGTAATTGCGCTAAAATTGTCACTAGACTTTTTAATTACCTTGTTTTTTTGGGGGGAGAGGGGGGGACTTGTTAAAAGTATATATTTTCTATATAATTCCATAAAAGAGCCCCCCCCCCCCGAAGAGATGCCTGAAAGAAAATCTGTGAGAGATGGGTGGACACCGTCTGGAGCCAGTTCATGCACGTGTAATGCCATCCCCAACAGTCGGTTAATTCAACGAAAATAAGCAATAAGTAATGGAAATTGTTTGAATTTGTGCCAGAGGCGTAGCGACCCTTCCCGGCGCCCGGGGACAAACTTTCGATTTGCACCCCCCTCAAGATTTCGATTTGCACCCACCCCCCCCCCCTCAAGATTTCGATTTGCACCCCCCCCCCTCTCAAACTTTTGATTTGCACCCCCCTCAAACTTTCATTTTTATTTTTCCAACCCATTTTGGCGCCCCCGAAGGTCGGCGCCCGGGGACATATGTCCCCCCCCCGCCCCCCCCCCTCGCTACGCTACTGATGTGTGCCAACCTTTCACACCCCAAATTGTTTAGTGTTTGTATAGACTAGAAATTGTTGGATAAATACAACCAGGCACAACGATGGTATTTTTTTTATTAAACAATACTAAAACAAAAAAGTTTAATTCAATTTTTTTTTGGATATGCTCTGATTCCCCCCCCCCCCCCCCCCAAACCCCACCCCGGCTCTACTGCCTCTCTTTATCGAATATAATGATGTTGACGATGTAATTTCCTGCAGATTATTTCAAAATTCGTATTTTTAGAAGAGGGTGATTGGAGAAGATATATAGACTACTCCGGCTTCAGCTCTATGAATAAACGACGTTAGTAAATAATTGTTTCGTAGAGTAAAAAATCCAATTCACTTCGCTAGAAGATATTCAAGTATTAATTAATTGCCTAATTTGCTATCTGGTTCATTGTTTTACCACTTTTAAAAAGCAATGTACTAATATTTTAACAGGCTTATCTGTGTGTGATGTCGGTCTATAAAAGGCTAAGCTAGAGACAGGTGCCGTTGATTTGCACTGGGTAAACAGCTAACGTAAAATGAAGGTTTTCGTTGGAGTCTTCCTCTTTGTTTTGATGTCATGTAAGTTGTGTACCAATGTCATGTAAAGTGTTACAAATGTCACGTAATATGTGTAACAATGTCATTAGAGTCGTGTACAAATGTCATGTAAGCTATGTACCAATGTCATGTTAGTTGTGTAAAAATGTCATGTAAGTAGTGTATCATTGTCATTTAAGTAGTGTTCCAATGTCATTTAAGCTGTGTACCAATGTCATTTAATTTGTGTACCAATGTCATTTAAGTTGTGTACCAATGTCATTTAAGCTGTGTACCAATGTCATTTAAGTTGTGTACCAATGTCATGTAAGCTGTGTACCAATGTCATGTAAGTAGTGTACCGATATCATGTAAGTTGTGTACCAATGTCATGTAAACTGTGTACAAATGTCATTTGAGTTTTGTACCAATGTCATCACTGTTTCGCTCATGCAGACCCATCACTCCTCCGTCACTCAACACGAAAAGTAAGAGCGTTATATTTCAATCGGAAGTATGTTTTATCCATCCTTACAATCCCCTATCCCATTTCAAAATTTACTATAGCTCCCCCCCCCCCACCCTACTTATCCCAAAGCCTGAAGAAATCCTGGACATAAAGTCAGTTGTTTGTGTACTCGATATACTTGACTAAATCTTGACTTTAATTCTTGTGGAGCTAACGGCCTCAACCATAATCTTACAATTTGTCCGGCTGTGTCTTTGTCTTGCCGTCTCTCGAGACATTCCTGCATTGTGTCTGTGTTCTACTGTCTTTAAAAGATGCCGGTATACTTTGTGTTTCACATCATACTGTCTAAATAAAGTGTAAGTATGGTTCATCCAACTAGTCTCACGCTCTATTTCCATTCAAGGACACATATTTTAAACATCATCAATGAAAGTCTTATATCTTTACGGTCAATTTCTTACGAGTGTTTTACACTTCTTATTTAAGAACTTTAAAATACGTAAAAAGAAATAATTAAAATAATATATTTGAAATAACGGTATTGTTATTTTAAATAAATCCTAGCTTCCACTTTAAAGGCAGAACTATAATTCCATTGATCAGTTTTAACCAATCGTATTCACCAAAAGCCTTCCATCCGATCTGTTAGCTGTTATTGACAACCAATTTCCGATATTCAGTTGCAGCAGTATGTCTTGGACGACAGACTCGGTTATCCTTGCTTCCCCTAGTCCTTCAGCCATGTACACTTGGCGGCAGCGACTGTCCAGGAGGCAAATGTGAAGATTCGAGTGCCGGACCATATTGCATACTAACAAGTAAGAGAAACATGAATATTTCTTCTATTCGTATTAGAGAGAGAGATCGAGAGATAGAGAAAGAGAGAGAGAGAGACAGAGAGAATACTCTTTAGACCTAGCGATACATTGGGTAGATGAAGTGGAGTTCATATGTTTCTTGACCTTGGCGTATGAAGGCGTGGCCACTGGCCAGCCCTTTGCCCGAACGCGTCGACTTTCCTTAACATGAGTTAGGTACCCATTAAAGCTGGCTCGACTCAAGGACGTTCTACTGACTTTGACTGACTTTGGAACTCGAGACATTCGGGTTAGCAGCCCAGCGCTCTACCGCTTAGGCCACGTCGTTCCATTGTATGTTAAATAAATGAGGGTAAACTATATTTATAAAACATTATAACTTTAACCATAACACGTTTACAGGTACCTACACTGAATTTTGTTTGTTAAATGTCATTTTTTCAATTTTTAGAATGGCAATGAATATCATAAGCCCGTCTTATAGAATGTGTACAGTTTTTAACAAATCGTTCAATTTTAAAGCCAATTATTTTATATAACTAACGCTATTTCTATAGACCCCTATGGTACATTTCCGCCCTGCCCGGACATGTCTGGATGCGCCAAACATTGCCCCCATGGCTACGTACTTAATGGCTACGGATGTCCCACCTGTACCTGTCTGTGGAGCTCTGACATCCAGAGGCTTTAGGCTGCTACATGAAAACAATGACGTCTACTTATGTTTTTGTGTGACTTTCATTTAATAAAACTTTAAGGCCAAACAGGAGAGTTTCTAAATATGTGCCAGATCTTATGTCAATAGATATCTAAAACAGAGTTTCTTCCAGACATTTTTCTCCGGGGGGGCACTTGAAATTTTCGGGGGGGGGGGGGTCAACTTTTTTCGGGGGGGGGGGGGGGGGCGGACACTAGTAAAAGTGTATGTATAAAATCCATCTAGTTCGGGGGGGGGGGAGGCGGTAGACTTTCTTCGGGGGGCTCTGCCCCCCCCCCCCCCCGAAGAGATGCCTGGAAGAAACTCTGATCTAAAATACGTCTTAGTGCAGAACTAAAAAAAAACGTTTTTTGGCTAAGATGGTAAAAGTAAGGCAGAAGATGTAGTCTACATTATAAAGTATGCCGCTCCACTGAAACGCAATTTTTAGGATGAGTTCATTAGTTACATAATTAGGTCTGGTCCGGATCGTTTAGCAAGTCATGAGAAGGAAATTAAAACTTAGAAACATAATTTGATGGAGGTACGTTTGAGAGATCTAAATTATTACCATAGCCTTAGTAGCTCCCTGGTCTGAATATATATTCTGATTGGTCCACTTGGGTTTACTGAAAATTACCGAATGGACACTTGTCGTATTCGGGCAAACATCCATTCGTGAAAACGTCCGGCTCCCGATCCGCATTCCTACCATCCACCTTTGTCTTTCCAATCTCATACTATCTGCCCCTGTTCAGTCCCATCTCATACCATCTGCCCCTGTTCAGTCCCATCTCATACCATCTGCCCCTGGTCAGTCCCATCTCATACCATCTGCCCCTGTTCAGTCCCATGCCATACCATCTGCCCCTGTTCAGTCCCATGCCATACCATCTGCCCCTGTTCAGTCCCATCTCATACCATCTGCCCCAGGTCAGTCCCATCTCATACCATCTGCCCCAGGTCAGTCCCATCTCATACCATCTGCCCCTGGTCAGTCCTATCTCATACCATCTGCCCCTGGTCAGTTCCATCTCATACCATCTGCCCTGATCAGTCCAATTTCCTAATAGTCCGTTTAAAAACTTACGGTCGCCAATAGTCGATCTCTGTTCTTAGCATATCAGTAGAGTTCTAAGTCTTAAAACATTCACAAACACATATGAACGAATAAACACAAATAATGGCACTAAATCAAAAAGGTTTGTATTACATTTTAACCTGTCGTCTTCAAAATCTATAAGACATTGACATTTAAGTAACTAATGACGTATCAGGTTGCCGATCTTTAACCTTAAAGAGCCTAAACACACATGGTACCACCGATGGTTGGCCTGCAGGTTGTCGACCTTTGACCTTAAGAGGCCTAGACACACATATTCCCACATATGGTTGGCTTGCAGGTTTTACCAGGCAGACACCTCCCCATGTATGTCGGGTCCTGGTAGAAGGTTGGGAAGATGGTGGGGGCGGGGGTTGTCTCAACGGTCATTGGCAGCACTGTCACAATGTCGAAACCAATCAGGCAGCGGTCGATTGGGGCACAGAAGTCGCGGATGTTGCGCACCGGATTGGCTGCAAATGTGAAAAAGAAAGTCTGAGAGAAATCTTATGACACTTATTTTTAATGAATGTTTTATAAAAGCTACTAAGGAATAAGATTCGTGACATGTAGAGATTGAGTTGTAGAGTACGTGACTGCTACCCATGCTTTCGTTGAGATCAGTTGCTAGCTTTGTGTCCGTTGGTATCTGTGACCCGAACTTAATGCGCTCTCATTCGCATAGAGTTAAGCCCACCTGTATAGAGTTAATCTCACCTGTATAGAGTTAATCTCACCTGCATAGAGTTAATCTCACCTGCATAGAGTTAACCTCACCTGCATAGAATCAATCTCACTTGAATATAATTAATCTCACCTGCATGGAACTAGTTTCGCCTGCATAAAAATTAATCTGATCAACATGGAACTAATCTCATCAACATAGAAAGTATCTCACCTGCATACAACTTATCTCACCTGCATACAACTAATCACATGTGCATACAATTAATCTCAACTGCATACATCTAATCAAATGTTCATACAATTAATCTCAACTGCATACAACTAATCAAATGTTCATACAATTAATCTCACCTGCATACATCTAATCATATGTTCATACAATTAATCTCATCTGCATAAAACTAATCACATGTGCATAAAATTAATCTCAACTGCATACATCTAATCAAATGTTCATAAAATTAATCTCACCTGCATACATCTAATCATATGTTCATACAATTAATCTCATCTGCATACAACTAATCACATGTGCATACAATTAATCTCATCTGCATGCAACTAATCACATGTGCATACAACTAATCTCACCTGCATACAACTAATCACATGTGCATACAATTAATCTCACCTGCAGCGAACACAAGAAGAGACAACATAAAGAACAGTTTCATTCTGAAGATCTATGCCGACAACTTTGTACTGCACGATGTGACTGACAGATGTTTGCTAGGTTTTTCATTAGCCACGAAACAAAACATTTACAACTTCCTGAAGATAACACTCATTAGAGATAGTAACTTTAATTTTAATAAAAAGATATTCAGTGATTAATTTTTTTTTTTTAAAAAGGGGTTCCAGCGCCATAGTTTGAATCTTACTCTCGGTTTATTACCTTTTGTTATAGCTAGGCTATGTGCCTGTTGAAAAAGTGGTGTCTTAATGAAAAGCCGTATTGTCTGTTAATTCTAAATCTTTGCAGAAAATGATGTAGACAATGCAACTTTTTTAAGATGTTAAAGTTTTTTAGATAAGCATTGAGATTTAATATCACGATACATTGAGTTAGTGAACTTGTTGGAAGATAAGAAATGTGTTGATTAGTGCTATTAAAAAAAAATATAAGATTTTATTTTTGAATTCAACGTCGTCCTTTCTAAACCAGTGTCCGACATTAAGATCAACTGGTTGGTTAATATGGCAAATTAAACTAGACCCTGAAATCAGAACATGGTCAACTATAAACTACAAACTGTTAAACATAATGAATTTTTTTTTAAAAGGTCGATTTAGTGATTTTTTTTTCTCTTTTTATTCTTTTTTTTCCATAATAAAAGATGAGTGATGATTTCAGACCGAACCAAATATGTCATTTCATGTCAGTCTACACGATAACTACCTAGACTAAGATATATTGCCACGATCAAACTGGTTTTACTATCACAACCATAGCTAGTATTGTAACGGTAAAACGGTGCTTTTACATCACTAGCACAGCTAGGATTATTACGGTAAAACTGCGGTTTACAACAAATCACAACCATAGCTAGTATTGTTACGGTAAAACTATGATTTTAAATCAGTAGCATAGCTAGTATTGTCACGATAAAACTGGTTTTACAATCACAACCATAGCTAGTATTATTACGGTAAAACGGTGGTTTTACATCAGTAGCACAGCTAGTATTGATACGGTAAAACTGTGATTTACAATCACAAGCATAGCTAGTATTGAAACGGTCAAACTGTGGTATTACATCAGTAGCACAGCTAGTATTTATACGGTAAAAGTGTAGTTTTAACATCAGTAGCACAGCTAGTATTGTTGTATTGTTACGGTAAAAGTGGGGTTTTACAATCATAACCACAGCTAGTATTATTACTTTGTTCTTTGTATACAGTGAAGTTGATGCACGGTTCATTTTGTGCACCAGTCCTAAATACAGTCCTAAATGTATATTTTGAATTTGAAAAAACAATAATATTTTGTTCTTTTTTAAGAAAGTATCGGTGATTGTGCATATAAAGTTGTTGGGGTTCGGTACCTCCAAAAAGGGTATAAAACCATTAAATTATACGAACACCAAAGTATAGACAAACGACAAACATACAATAAATTTCACCTCCTTTTGTTATTTATTAAACATCTCAAACTTTGTCAAACTTCACTCGATATTATTCCCAATGCATTTTCGCGAGTGACCTTTGACCTTCCGCGGTATGACATCGGTTTCCACAGGTTGTAAAGATACAAACTTCCCCATCAGGACAGCGACGAAAAACTTCCATTGAAGACACCGGCATTAGGAACCCCGGCAACGGCTCAGTAGAGCAGAGATTGATTTTATCGCAGAAATCTCGCTGGTTGTGTAGGGGAGTTCCTGCAATACCCGACATTGAAGTGTAAGATGGTTTTTATAATGTGATAAAATGGTCTTCATAATGTGATAAATTAGTAATTTTATATTTAAGTTTGGGGTGTTTTGACTGTAGGTGATACATGTATGATTGAACATGGCTGGGACTTGGGAATGTAGGGGGGGGGGTAAATTGTGTGACCTTTTGAGTAAGTTACCAATATTGGACTAATTAGAAAATCATATATTTTTTAATTGAGTAAATAAATATTTTCTATATAAAAAATTTCTATTTCGTTGGGGGCGGGGGAGAAGACCCCCCCAACCCACGAAAGGATACCTGAAAGAAACCGCTAACGGACGGTGGCGTTAGAGAACGTTATACTGACCTGCAGTAAACCCCAGGACTGACAAGAAAATGACCAGTTTCATTTTTGAGGTTTAGAGTGTGACAATATGAAGCGAGACATACTATGGATATTTATAGATTGTGTGTAATCGTAAGACAAGAGTTTTTAAGATAAGATCAGAAACTTAAGGTCTGAATTGTCTATCTGTGAACGGAACTAGTGCATATAAAAGTGTGTCTGTGTGTGTATGCGTGTGTGCGTGTGTGCGTGTTTCATGGTGCCTGTGTGTGCTTGCGAGCTAGCGTGTCAGTATGTGTTGTGTGTGTGCCTCTCTGTATGTTTGTGTGTGGGTATGTGTGTGTGCATATGTGTCTATGTGAACCACAAATCCTTGTCTTGGAGGCACACTCTTATTACGTTTAGATGATAAATGTCTAATATAAACTGCTTTAATTTTTTTTTATGTTAAGTTTGTTTCAAAAGTCTGCAACAGTTGACAAAAAAAAAAGATTAAATTTACAAAAAAAGCTACTAAACTGCTCATTGTCAAATGCTATTCTATCTA